ATTCCCAACACCAATCACGGGGCAAAGCACCTGACGCTGCTGCCACATACTTGATCTTCCCAGGGGGTTTTACCTCATCAAGCAAATCTGCCCGTGGGGTCATGTGACTGGTGCAACCCGAATCAATCACCCAGTGCGTGAGAGGGTGCATCACAACCTTTCCCGACAAATCCCACATCACCCTCATGCCCATGCACATCCTCAACCATGAATACACCCAGGATAGGCGTTACCTTGTGCACCTTCACCTTGTGCACCTAGCCTTGCACAGCGCCACCTTGTGCGCGTTCACCACTTGGCGGCTTCATGCCTGGAGGTGCCCATCCCTCCAGCCTGCTGAAGCACTTGAACCAAGGATGCCCGACCTTCTTGCAGTACCAGCAGGTGCCCTCCATTCTGGTACTCCCCTGCCACTGGAGCTCCCATGCCCCTCATTATAGTCACCTCGGCCTCTACCTCTGCCAAAGCTTCTCCCACGGCCTCGGCCTCTCCAACCCCCTCTTCCTCTGCTGCGCCCTGCAGCTCCATACCCCTCAGCAGTCTTAGTGGCAGCACCGCCTCCCACATGGCGTCTGCGGAAGTCCTCCTGCAGAATCTGCTGCCTTAGCCACTCAGGTGTCCATTGATCTTGCTGAGAGTTGAGGGTGGGGATGAGGTTGTCCCAAGAGTTGTCCAACACCGAGATGATCTTGGTGCACTGCTGCAGCTGAGATACACTGCTGCCCGCTGCTGCCATCCTTGCATAGGTGTCCTTGATCTTGTCAAGGACCGGCTTCACATCGTCCCCTGGTCGCATGGAGATGGCAGCAAGTTCCTTCTCGAGCACGATCACCATCAGGAGAGTGTTGGGCTGAATCACATCGCGTAGTAGTTTCCACGCCCTTGGACCCGAATCATCCGCTTCCACAAGATCCTTGATGTGCTCGAACATCTCCTTGTTGACCGATTGAAGGATGAGGTCGAAAAGCACCGCGCTTTTCTCAATCCACCGTTCACGTGCTTCGCCTTCTTCCGGCATCTTCTCTTCCCAACAGCAATCTTCAGTAGCTTGTAGCGTTTGAAGGCACTCCTCATCCGTCCGCTCCATTCCTCATAGTTGGAGCCATCCAAAGCTTCAACTTTTGATGGCGGCGGCTCACTTGTCTTCTCAGCTACAGCTCCTCTTCCATTAGCATCTCCTCCTCTCTCATTCATCTTCTCCTTGAGAAATGACGAATTTCAGCTCCCCTTTGCTGTCCACACTCAGCTCCCTCGATATTTCACAAGTGTCGGCGTCCACGAAATTTCGGCAGAGTTTCCCCTTAGCGGAAGACACATCCAACCTTTAGAACACCACTTAGGCACACCCACAGGCCATGGTGGGTCTAGAAGGGTCTTCACACTTCTGTAGACTCCTCTCAATGTCCTTAATATGCTCTGATACCACTTGTTAGGATTAAGGACGGAGTCTAGGTGAACTTAGGAGCTAGAATTACTCAAAATATAAATCCGAAATTCTGGACAGAAAAGTCGTCTTCACAAGAAACGACGTCGACAAACAACTAGCCGTTGGAATGTCGCGAAACTTGGATATGTTGTAGCTCTTAATCTCAGCTACCGTTCCCAATTTGAATCATGTTGATTGATAAAGTATTCGCGACGCTATGGCTTTCGACGCACTAGGGGGTAAGCTGTAGGAGGAGAACTTAACTCAATCTCAAAGGTTCAATCAAAGTTCAAGAATCTCACAAGGAATTAGAAGGAGCAAGAGAAAGGTTGGGATAGAAAGAGAGGGATGAGAGGGAAGGTCCCAAGAGAGTCCCCAACCAAGGAAACCCCATAAGCACAAAGATTCCCTCCCTATAGGAACCCCAACTTTGACATTTGTCCCTTCCCAACCAATCCATCCAAGTTGGCCACCCTTGCCAACCTAGCTTGGTTGTTCCCAACCAATTTGCAGCTGTTACAGTGAGTGACAATTTCCCCAACCCCAAAGGTCCCAACTCCATATAGAGTCACCCCACAACTTCACTTTGTAACCGCCGCAATTGTAACGCAAGCTCATGAACTTTGAATCTTCATAGCTTTCGCGTTCTTGCTCCGATTGAAGGATTCTTGTTGCGTCGGAAAGATCTTCTCAAGATCTATCATCACAAATACCTGCTCAGACAGAATAACACAAAACACATTCCCAAACTCCAGAACACACACACACAAATTCTTGCACACGTCAAACCAACATGCAATTGAAAAAAAATGGAGGCAGACAAATTGATAAAATGAACATCACACAACAGTAAACACCATTTTGTGGTTAGTATGCCGGAGCGCTTCTCAGATGCAGAATGTTGATATGGATCTACTCGCATTCAACATCACAACAACATGTTCATAGATGCTTGTCCAAATCTTTCTTTGCATACATAGCTAGTGTATGCCCAGAGCATCATGCTTGTCAGATCCAAAATCCAAGTGGTTGGGAAGTTAAGTATGTCAATATTGCCCATGCTAAACACTTGAGCATGCCCAACAAAACCTCAACTTTCATTTTTTTTTCAGAACAAGCAATTTCTAAGCCCTTGATTTGCATGAAAAGTTAGTGCATGGGCTCAAGATATCGTGGCTTGTGCTCGGATAAAAAAACTAAGTGTGCAAAAGTTATGGATCGTATGTGTTCCTTTTTCCAGTACTTGAGCATTTTCCTTCGAGACCTCAACTTGGTTATCTTGCTATTGAGCATGCTCAAACATCTTTCTTTTCATGCATGGTTAGTGTATGGGCTCAAGAGCATGCTGGCCTGTGCTCAGATGCAAAACCCAGGTGTGTGGGAAGTTATGGTATCTCAAGCGTTGTCGCATTTCCAAGTTCTTGAGTGTACCCCACCTAAACAACAACCTGTTTTTTCATTAAGGTGCTTTGTTTACCAAAACTCTTTCCTTTGGCATACATAGCTAGTGTATGGCCCCAAGAGCATCATGGCTTGTGCTTAGATCTAAAATCCAAGTGGTTGGGAAGTTAGAGTATGTCAAGTATTGACCCATGTCTAAACACTTGAGCATTGCCCAACAAAACCTCAACTCTTCATTTTTTTTTCAGACACTGAGCAATTTCTAAGCCCTTGTTTTGCATGAAAAGTTAGTGCATGGGCTCAAGATAGTCGTGGCTTGTGCTCGGTTAAAAAAACTAAGTGTGCAAAAAGTTATGGCATCGTATGTGTTTCTTTTTCCAGTACTTGAGCATTTTCCTTCGAGACCTCAACTTGGTTATCTTGCTATTGAGCATGCTTAAACATCTTTCTTTTTTCATGCATGGTTAGAGTATGGGCTCAAGAGCATGCTGGCTTGTGCTCAGATGCAAAACCCAGGTGTGTGGGAAGATATGGTATCTCAAGCGTTGTCGCATTTCCAAGTTCTTGAGTTGTACCCCACTAAACAACAACCTGTTTTTTCATTAAGGTGCTTTGTTTACCAAAACTCTTTCCTTTTGCATACATAGCTAGTGTATGGCCCAAGAGCATCATGGCTTGTGCTTAGATCTAAATCCAAGTGGTTGGGAAGTTAGAGTATGTCAAGTATTGACCCATGTCTAAACACTTGAGCATTGCCCAACAAAACCTCAACTCTTCATTTTTTTTTCAGACACTGAGCAATTTCTAAGCCCTTGTTTTGCATGAAAAGTTAGTGCATGGCTCAAGATAGTCGTGGCTTGTGCTCGGATAAAAAACTAAGTGTGCAAAAAGTTATGGCATCGTATGTGTTTCTTTTTCCAGTACTTGAGCATTTTCCTTCGAGACCTCAACTTGGTTATCTTGCTATTGAGCATGCTCAAACATCTTTCTTTTTCATGATGGTTAGTGTATGGGCTCAAGAGCATGCTGGCTTGTGCTCAGATGCAAAACCCAGGTGTGTGGGAAGATATGGTATCTCAAGCGTTGTCGCATGTTCCAAGTTCTTGAGTGGTACCCCACTAACAACAACCTGTTTTTTCATTAAGGTGCTTTGTTTACCAAAACTCTTTCCTTTTGCATACATAGTAGTGTATGGCCCAAGAGCATCATGGCTTGTGCTTAGATCTAAAATCCAAGTGGTTGGGAAGTTAGAGTATGTCAGTATTGACCCATGTCTAAACACTTGAGCATTGCCAACAAAACCTCAACTCTTCATTTTTTTTTTCAGACACTGAGCAATTTCTAAGCCCTTGTTTTGCATGAAAAGTTAGTGCATGGGCTCAAGATAGTCGTGGCTTGTGCTCGGTAAAAAAACCTAAGTGTGCAAAAAGTTATGGCATCGTATGTGTTCTTTTTCCAGTACTTGAAGCATTTTCCTTCGAGACCTCAACTTGGTTATCTTGCTATTGAGCATGCTCAAACATCTTTCTTTTTCATGCATGGTTAGTGTATGGGCTCAAGAGCAATGCTGGCTTGTGCTCAGATGCAAAACCCAGGTGTGTGGGAAGTTATGGTATCTCAAGCGTTGTCGCATTTCCAAGTTCTTGAGTGGTACCCCACTAAACAACAACCTGTTTTTTCATTAAGGTGCTTTGTTTACCAAACTCTTTCCTTTTGCATACATAGCTAGTGTATGGCCCAAGAGAACATGGCTTGTGCTAGATCTAAAATCCAAGTGGTTGGGAAGTTAGAGTATGTCAAGTATTGCCCATGTCTAAACACTTGAGCATTGCCCAACAAAACCTCAACTCTTCATTTTTTTTTCAGACACTGAGCAATTTCTAAGCCCTTGTTTTGCATGAAAAGTTAGTGCATGGGCTCAAGATAGTCGTGGCTTGTGCTCGGATCAAAAAAACTAAGTGTGCAAAAAGTTATGGCATCGTATGTGTTTCTTTTTCCAGTACTTGAGCATTTTCCTTCGAGACCTCAACTTGGTTATCTTGCTATTGGAGCATGCTAAACATCTTTCTTTTTCATGCATGGTTAGTGTATGGGCTCAAGAGCATGCTGGCTTGTGCTCAGATGCAAAACCCAGGTGTGTGGGAAGATATGGTATCTCAAGCGTTGTCGCATGTCCAAGTTCTTGAGTGTACCCCACTAAACAACAACCTGTTTTTTCATTAAGGTGCTTTGTTTACCAAAACTCTTTCCTTTGCATACATAGCTAGTGTATGGCCCCAAGAGCATCATGGCTTGTGCTTAGATCTAAAATCCAAGTGGTTGGGAAGTTAGAGTATGTCAAGTATTGACCCATGTCTAAACACTTGAGCATTGCCCAACAAAACCTCAACTCTTCATTTTTTTTCAGACACTGAGCAATTTCTAAGCCCTTGTTTTGCCATGAAAAGTTAGTGCATGGGCTCAAGATAGTCGTGGCTTGTGCTCGGTTAAAAAACTAAGTGTGCAAAAAGTTATGGCATCGTATGTGTTCCTTTTTCCAGTACTTGAGCATTTTCCTTCGAGACCTCAACTTGGTTATCTTGCTATTGAGCATGCTCAAACATCTTTCTATTTTCATGCATGGTTAGTGTATGGGCTCAAGAGCATGCTGGCTTGTGCTCAGATGCAAAACCCAGGTGTGTGGGAAGATATGGTATCTCAAGCGTTGTCGCATTTCCAAGTTCTTGAGTTGTACCCCACTAAACAACAACCTGTTTTTTCATTAAGGTGCTTTGTTTACCAAAACTCTTTCCTTTTGCATACATAGCTAGTGTATGGCCCCAAGAGCATCATGGCTTGTGCTTAGATCTAAAATCCAAGTGGTTGGGAAGTTAGAGTATGTCAAGTATTGACCCATGTCTAAACACTTGAGCATTGCCCAACAAAACCTCAACTCTTCATTTTTTTTTCAGACACTGAGCAATTTCTAAGCCCTTGTTTTGCATGAAAGTTAGTGCATGGGCTCAAGATAGTCGTGGCTTGTGCTCGGTTAAAAAAACTAAGTGTGCAAAAAGTTATGGCATCGTATGTGTTCCTTTTCCAGTACTTGAGCATTTTCCTTCGAGACCTCAACTTGGTTATCTTGCTATTGAGCATGCTCAAACATCTTCTTTTTTCATGCATGGTTAGTGTATGGGCTCAAGAGCATGCTGGCTTGTGCTCAGATGCAAAACCCAGGTGTGTGGGAAGATATGGTATCTCAAGCGTTGTCGCATTCCAAGTTCTTGAGTTGTACCCCACTAAACAACAACCTGTTTTTTTCATTAAGGTGCTTTGTTTACCAAAACTCTTTCCTTTTGCATACATAGCTAGTGTATGGCCCCAAGAGCATCATGGCTTGTGCTTAGATCTAAAATCCAAGTGGTTGGGAAGTTAGAGTATGTCAAGTATTGACCATGTCTAAACACTTGAGCATTGCCCAACAAAACCTCAACTCTTCATTTTTTTTTTCAGACACTGAGCAATTTCTAAGCCCTTGTTTTGCATGAAAAGTTAGTGCATGGCTCAAGATAGTCGTGGCTTGTGCTCGGATTTAAAAAACTAAGTGTGCAAAAAGTTATGGCATCGTATGTGTTTCTTTTTCCAGTACTTGAGCATTTTCCTTCGAGACCTCAACTTGGTTATCTTGCTATTGAGCATGCTTAAACATCTTTCTTTTTCATGCATGGTTAGTGTATGGGCTCAAGAGCATGCTGGCTTGTGCTCAGATGCAAAACCCAGGTGTGTGGGAAGATATGGTATCTCAAGCGTTGTCGCATTTCCAAGTTCTTGAGTTGTACCCCACTAAACAACAACCTGTTTTTTCATTAGGTGCTTTGTTTACCAAAACTCTTTCCTTTTGCATACATAGCTAGTGTATGGCCCCAAGAGCATCATGGCTTGTGCTTAGATCTAAAATCCAAGTGGTTGGGAAGTTAGAGTATGTCAAGTATTGACCCATGTCTAAACACTTGAGCATTGCCCAACAAACCTCAACTCTTCATTTTTTTTCAGACACTGAGCAATTTCTAAGCCCTTGTTTTGCATGAAAAGTTAGTGC